AATCGATAAAGTGGCTTACCGACTCCGACTTCCTCAAGAGATGGGGAAGATGCACCCAGTGTTCCACGTGAACTTACTCAAGCCGTACTTTGAGGATCCGCTTCGCAAGGACCAAGTGAGACCTCTACCTGAGGTTATCCAAGGGGAAGAGGAATACGAAGTCGAGGCCATCCTCAATGCGCGCAAGAGCAAGTGACAAGGACCCGAGGTGAGAGAGTTCCATGTGAAGTGGAAAGGATTTCCATACTGCGAAGCAACATTGGAACCGGAGGAGAACCTAGCGAACGTGCGAGATCTAGTGGAGGAATTTCTGCAAGGCAGAACTCTATGTACTTATGCAAAGTTCAATTAAAAATATCAATTTGCAAAGTTGAGCAAGTGGCATATGTTGGGACCCGAAGGCGTGCCGAAGGTAAGCTAATTAGCATGGGTTAGCTAGGTCGACCAGGCGTAGGGCACTACGCCCGACTCCCTGCGGGGATGTCGAATCCATAGACGTATTCTATGGAGGTTGGGTTCGAGTCCCAACCCCCTAGTAAAGCAAGGCTAGGTTCAAGTCCGGACCCTATACTAGGGTGTGGTGAGGTGAGGAGTGTAGGGACACCTATACTCCGTTGTCATAGGCTCTTGGCCGGGGAGGCTAACTTAGGCACACCGCTAAGTGGGGGGATGCCCCCGGAGACATGGTCAACAAGTCGTAGGATAAAAAGAGACGTTCAATGTGGGCATCGAACTTCTTCTATGGGTGGTGGAGTTGTAAGGAACCGACTCCCCGAGATGTCGTAGGCTAAAGGATCCCCGAGAGCATGACAGAAATGACAAAGAGTTCATTGGATGGGACCGAGTCGAAGATCGAGTCCAAGACCGACTCTGAGACCGAGTTCGAGATAGAGTCCGGAATCGAGCCGAGGCCGAATCGGAGATCGAGTTCGAGTCCGAGTTCGAGACCGAGTTCGAGGCAGAGTCCAAGATCCAAATCGGGTCTGAGACCGAGTCCGAGATCGAGTCCGAAGTCAGGGCCGAAATCGGGTCCAAGATCGAGTCCGAAATCGAGTCCGAAACCGAATCCAAAGTCGGGTCCGAGATCGATTCTGAGACTAAGTCCAAATACTAATACAGCTCAAGGGGTGAAAGCACAAAGCGTGCGTCTCCCAGGGGGGGGGGGGGGGGGGGCCTACAGGGGGTTCCAAAAGTATAGTAGGGATAGTGAGGTCCAGGAACCAGTCTTGAAGGAACTCTCCAGTGGTGCTTCCAAACTGACTTGAGGTTGAGACTGGGGCCGAGGGGCCTTGGGTGGGAGTGAGCATGGGCTTGGGTGGTGCCGGAGGGGCCACCCAGGGAAGTGCTCAAGAGCAGCTCCCACTCCCGAAAAGGAAACCGACTGCGGTGCTCCCGGCTCATGTGGAGTGGTGCCCCACTTGAGTACCTTGTGGCTCATTGGTCCTCGCCCTTCCTAGGGGCTTGGGCCTTCCCTTCGGGATAGAAGTGGGGGGGTAGAGGTACCCATACCGGGCCGTTAGGCCATAGTGTTTGACCCCGACGTCCCGAAGCAAGTGCTGCACCCAAGGCTTATGATTTAGAGGGTCCTATGATCAAGTCTTGTGGTACCAAGGGGTGTTAAGAACATGGAGGCTTGGTGTGCTTGGCTGCTTGTGCCTGCGGGGAGTGTAGCCGAACCTTAAGTCCAGTCTAACCCGGGGAGGGGGATTGGGAGAGATTTGGGAATCTGTGGATGGATGGCTAACACTCCGTTGCTCGTGCAGTGAGTAACTAAAACCAAGTAGGACCAAGTAGGAGCTGGTACCATAGGCGAGAACCTTGGCGAGGGAACTTAGCACAAGCTAAGGCAGTGTCGGTTGGATAGACGAGGTAAGCTGGCAAATTGGAAAGGAAAAATTTGTGGCTTACAAAAGGGTGGTTATAGATCAGCAAATCTCCTTGGGATGCTCCAGTGATAATGGTAAAAAAAAAAGATGGTACATGGTGTCTCTACATGAATGACAAGGAATTGAATGATAGGACGGTAAAGAATATGTTCCCAATCCCTCGTATCGATGATTCACTCGATCATCTTTGTGGTGCTTGATATTTTTTGAAAATTGATTTGAGGTAAGGGTATCATTAGATTTGTGTCAAGCCAGGGGATGTTCTGAAAACTACATTTCAGACAAAGGCAACACTACAAGTTTTTGGTGATGCCGTTTGGTTTGACAAATGCTTTTGCAATTTTTTAGAGATTGATGAATCAAGTTTTACAGCCTTATTTGGGAAAGTTTGCAATTGATTATTTTGATGATATATTAGTATTCAGCTTTTCAATGGAGGAACATGAGATGCATGTGTGAAGTGTTTTACAACTTTTGAGGGACAATAAGCTCTACTTGAAGTTATCAAAATGCGAGTTTGTTTTAGAGATTGGATATCTCGGGCATTTGATTTTAGTATATGGAATGAAACTTGATCCCGCAAAGATTCAGGTCATGGTTGATTGGCCTATATCTTTGATAGTGCATGATTTCTATAGTTTCCTTGGTATGGCTGGAGTTTTTCGACGATTTGTAAAGGACTTTTCAAAGATAGCAACCCCTTTGACTAATCTTCTCTAGAACATGTCAAAACATGCTACTATTCATGGTTAGGATGAGAATTGTGAAGTGGTATTTCAATGTTTAAAGATTTTTGATCCTGAAAAGCCTCTTGTGGTTAAGACAAATGCAAGTGACATTGTTATTAGAGCCATATTGCTTCAAGTTGGGCATCATCTTGTGTACATGAGCCATAAGTTTGATGCTACACAACAGAATTAACCTACTTGAGACAAAGAGTTATATGTTGTGATTGCTACTATGAAGGAATGGCAACATTATCTATATAAATCAAACTTCTATATGGATTCAGACCATTAGTTTCTCCAATATTTCAATCAATAAAAGGATCTTTAAGGCCACTTTGCTCATTGGCAAGAGTTCCTGTAGGAAATGTCTGTTAAGATCAAATACAAGCATGAAGGTGATAATAAAGTGGCTGATGCATTATCTAGGATGGTAAATTCTATTTCACTCATAAAGCTATCCAGCAATTTCTTGGATGAGCTTAAAGAGTTTGTGGACTTCGACTCCTTTATCACTGATATTCGTGCAAAGGTTTTGTTGAGGGATGTCTCTACAGATTTAAAAGGTGACAAGTTTGCGTCATTCGAGATACAATATGAAATCCTAGTGAAGAAGGGACATGTAGTGGTTCCTTGTGTTGACAAACTCATCAAATGGATTTTAGTTGAGTGTCATGATATGCCAAATGTTGGGCATCCAAGGGTATTAAGAACATATATGTTAGTGAAGAGGCATTTCTTTTGGCTTGGGATGAAGTTAGATGTTGAAGAATCAGGTATTAAAAGATTTGCTAAGGTCTTTTGTGGGAAACTTGACTCAATAGATAGTATAGGAGAAGTACTTACCTTTGCTTCAGTCTGCTTATAATAACGCTCATCAATCAACTATTGACATATTTCCCTTTATGGTGATGTATGGCTATGAGCCAAGGTCTCGTATAAGTTTGAATTTAGCTTTGATTCAGGTACCTCATACTTGTGATTTCCAAGAGGATATGCAAGACAAACTTGAGTTGACAAAGTTGAACATGAGCCAAGCTCAAGAGTGAAACAAAAGATTAGCTAATGACCATCGTTGTCATCAATAGTACAAAGTTGGTGACAAGATTTTCCTTAAGCTGTCAGATGCACAACGGTCTCTAAAAGGAGGTGGCAATGCTAAGTTGTCTCAACAGTATTGTGGGCCTTGAACAATTTTACAGCATATGGGGGATCTTGCATACACTTTGGACTTGCCAGTTAATTTGAAGATTCATCCAACGTTCTATATGAGCAAGCTTAAAGTATGTTTGCACTCTAGTGATCTCATGGATCAGTGCATCATCTAAGTTCCAAAGATTGATGCAGAGAAGTCTCAAAGATTAGTGAAAAGACAACTAAAGAGCTATTAGTTTAATGGAATGATTATTCTATGGATGAAGTTACATAGGAAATTGAGGATGACATGAAGAGAGTGTTTTTGAATTTTGGTTATGACTTGGATGACATTCATGAGGAAGGGGATAATTGAGTTCTATATCTGTATTACTATATAATTTGAGTCATTTGTTCTATTCTCATTCTCTGGTTTCCATAACCACATTGTCATGTGAAAAAGCTATATTGCTTTTTTTCTTTTGTGGCATTTGTCATGACGTTGGTGTTGCCATTTACACATCTCTTCTCCATGGCCATATTGCTTTAGACTCCCTACATGTGAGGCTTGTTTAGCTTCTTGAGGCTGCCGTATGTGGCTCATGAAGGAGGGGAGAACCATAAGAATATTCTAAGAATAATCTTGGGATTTAAAGTTAAGGGTTGGGAGGTTGGTCTAGGGTTGGAAAGTTTCATGTTACCTCGAGGAACTTTAGCTGCACCACCACCACTACCTCCTCCACCACCACGTGGCAATACTGTTGTGCCACCTCCACCGCCACCACCTCCTCTTCCACAAGCTGCAAGGCCTCTAGCTCATCACTGCAGCCACCGCTGCCTCCACTGGGAATGCAAGGCACTCCTCCGCCTCCACCTCCAGGCAATGGTGACTTCACACTGAGAGGAGGCGGCAGTGGCAGTGGAGAAGATCTTACTGCTGATCCGGGAGGAGGTGGCGGTGTACCACCTCCTCCGCCACCTGCATTGGGGAGAGGACGAGGTAGTAGTCCTTTGACACCTTCGCCTCCTGGTGGTCGAAGCCGAGGACAGGTTGCTGGTGCTTTGGGTCTGGCATCTGCTACACCGAAGAAGACCTCTCTGAAGCCATACCACTGGGTAAAGGTTACATGGGCTATGCAGGGCAGTCTATGGGCGGACAGTCAAAAGCAGGAAGAGCAGTCAAGGTGTGTCTTGTGGTCTTTTTCTTTTGTTACATGTGCTCACAATTTTTTGAATTTGACATGAATGAGCTAGGGAGCCTCTTCTCGGCCGCTGTTCTGAATGCTGCTGCGGGTGGTGACAGAGCGGGTGGTCGTCGTGCATCTCTAGTTCCCAAGCAGGAAAAAGTGCTCCTGGTGAGCTGCCTTTTGTAATAGAAGCCGAGGCCTCACTTTTGTTTTATTCAGATTGAACATAGACGAGCGTACAATTGTGAGATAATGCTGACAAAAGTGAAGATGCCACTGCCAGAAGTTGTTGTAAGTGGCTATCTACATTATGCAATGTGGTTTTTACTTGAGCACTCAGAAAGCAATACTATGGGACAGTACTGGATGTAGATCAGGTTGATAATCTGATCAAGTTTTGTCCAACAAAGGAGGAGATGGAAACGCTCAAGGTTTTATTTCCAGATATGATCTTGCCATCTAACTTATGCTGGTGGTTTTGCAGAACTACACGGGCGATAAAGAATGCCTGGGCAAATGTGAGCAGGTTTGTCCCACTTTGTCTGAAACAGTATCATTTACTAGACAATATGTTTGTTTTTGCAGTGTTTCCTGGAGATGATGAAAGTTCCTCGGGTAGAGTCCAAATTTCTTTTAAACTTCAGTTCACGTCGCAGGTTTGGTCAAAATTATTTTGTCTACCCTTTCAAACGTTGATATCAGGTGTCAGATTTACGAGAAAATCTGGTAATAGTCAATGAAGCTTCAGCAGAGGTAATTTCGCACTCTTCTTGTATGTTGCCTGAAGCCGGATTCTTGCAGGTGAAAGAGTCTCCTAAGCTTAAAAGAGTGATGCAAACGGTTCTGTCCCTGGGAAATGCGTTAAACCAAGGAACTGCTAGAGGTAAGAAGAGTGCCCGGGAGCTTGAGCTAAGTAACAAGTGTGGCTGTTGTTCCAGGGGCGGCGATTGGATTCAGACTCGATAGTCTACTTAAGCTGACAGAAACTCGAGCTCGTAATTCTAGAACTACGTTATTACATTATCTGTGTAAAGTAAGTTAGGTGCAACTGTTTTGGCTTGGCTGACACGTGACACTGGTGGCAGATTGTATCCGAGAAAATGCCCGAAATACTTGATTTTGACAAGGAATTGCCTCACCTTGAGGCAGCCACCAAGGTTCTTATATTTCATACTCCAGTATTTGTGTCTCGGTTTTCTGACCTGTGTTACAGATTCAATTGAAAGCTCTTGCAGAAGAAATGCAAGCCGTAAGCAAAGGCCTGGAAAAGGTTGAGCAGGAATTGACAGCGTCTGAAAACGATGGAGCCGTCTCTGATGGGTTTCGGAAGGTGATGTCTGCCTGCTTTGCGTGCATTGTCCTAATGTTTTCCATGGACGCACAGAGCTTGAAGAGTTTCCTTGATACAGCGGAGGCGGAGGTGAGAACACTGGCGTCTTTGTACTCTGAAGTGGTAAGAGATGTTAAGTTTGTATGTATGGCTCGTTGAAAGCATTGTCACTTTGCAGGGCCACAATGCCGATTCCTTGGCGCGCTACTTCAATGAAGATCCCGCTCGCTGTCCATTTGAGCAAGGTACTTAACCATTTGGTCTATATGCACTTGATTTTACAAACGTCTCTTGGATTTGGTTCGCAGCGGTGTCGATCATTTTTAATTTCATCGTGATGTTCAAGCGTGCATTGGAAGAGAACAGCAAGCTAGCAGAGATGGAAAGGAAGAAGGCTGAGAAGGAGGCCGACAAAGGCAAGGTTCTCCCGCTGAGAAGAGAGCTGGATGGGCTACTGTCGCCCCGGCAAAGCAGGATAGCGTGACTTCCGGATAGATTATTGACACGAAGAAGATTTTTGAAGAAAAGAAATTCAATGATACGTTTCCAAGGCTGTTTGGGACCCTACTAAGAACGTTAGGGTTTTCACGCAGAAGGGTTTAGAGCATGGCAGAAGAAGAAGCACGATACAGGGTAAGCTCCTTTGCTGCGCGTGCAGTTTTACAAGTGCTCCGAGAGCCTCAAGGAGGCAATATGCTATGGAATGATGGAGATGGGCCTTTGTTGAATGCCAAGAATTTCCTTGGTAGACCATTTATGCGGCCGCTCATCAGCAGCAACGTGCGGGTAGACACCTTCACTGATTGGGGAGTCGGACGGGAGTTATTCCCATCCAAGCTCTATGTATGGCACAACATCCACGAGCTGGTCGATCGTTTTGTTGCAAGAGAGATCAATGATACGGAGGAGGTCTTTTTTGTGCCCAATCGGGATCGACAAGTTCATCCTGTGGATTCTCCAGGTGCGATGGCAAGAATCCTCAGCTCCCAACTCGTCCAGCGGCTGCCGGGGGCAATCCGTCCAGTAGGCTTGGTTCCCGAGGTTAATGTACTGTTGACAGGCAGTGATCGCAGCGTGAAACCTCGAGGTTGTCTCGTAGGAGTAATTCATTTGGAGCTTGAGGGGCTGTGCGTGCGAGACATTGCTACAAATCTGGAACATGGCTCTTCCTTTAGAGAAGCTGTGGAGAGGGTTTATTGTTACTGTGAGCAGTGGAAGACGGACTATGCGGTGATTATTGGTGCACGCCATCTGTGGTTTTGTGTCAGGCGTGGCTACAATGGCTTTGCTATAGCTGAACCGATGAAGATCTCTGAGGTGCCAATGAAGCACTTCTGGTACGTTATCTTCTCTAGTGTGGTCAATGCCACTGAGTTGCCTCGGCAAGACGATCAGGACAATTGCGAGGAGCTCACAATGGTGCCTCCCCCTCATCATGTGATGCTGCCAAAGGATTTCAACAAGTTTGTCAAGCGCAACATGAAGCACTTGGCAAGCGAGTTGGCATACATCTCCATGGCCAAAGTGCACAAGAAGCTCAAGTGTTGGAGGTTTGGGGAGTTTTATAGGGACTTTCGGCAGGGAATGGTGCTGTCACCAAATGTGGCAAGGGCTGTGTACAGAGGATCTGAGAAGGTGGTGGTGAAAATAGTGGACATGTCTCAACCAGGTTCAAAGCTAGGTGCTGCTATGTTGTTTGTTCGGGAGATCCTCATGTATTCCAGGCTCAAATCCATGCAGGGTTGTGGAGTTCCCAAGCTCTTAGAGTATGGCGTCCTCAATGGGGATATGTTCTCAGTGATTGTCATGTCTGACGAAGGTGATAGCACTCTTCCTTCCCAAACATATCCCCATCTCAAAGAGCCTGCCACAAGGGTGTTGCGAGAGATCTACCAGTGCGGTGCTTATCATGGAACTTTTGAGGCATCAGATGTTGTGGTCTCTGTGGACGGTGATCTGCCACCCAAAGTTAGCATCGTGGGCTTCTCCTTGGGCGGCATTGTCTCGATTGAGCATAATCCTTGGAAGGATGAGCTGAGTTGTGTCATGTCAACTATCGGGATCACAGAGGATTCATCATCGGAAGAAGATGGCGCTGAGGATGTGGAGGAAGGCCAGAGTGAAGATTACTATTCTAGCGTGGAAAGCCCCTATAGGTAGTTCTTGCTAGATTTCATTGAGTTGAATTCACTAGTTTTTCTTGGTAGATTTCATTGAGTTGGATTTGCTCTTGCACGGCACACTGTACATCGATCTTCATCACATCACAATCTGTCTGGAACACACAAGAGCGTTACTGACCAAAGCAAGAGAAAGAAAACAAGCTCACCACCTTACCGGTCGATAATGCCGGACACCTTTCCCAAGGCAAAAAGCATCCTCGTCGTCCTGTTCCCTGCTTTCAATCGGGGATCTCTTCCATAAATCCAGCCCCTCGTCCGGATCGAAAGCTGGCACCACTTTGAGAATGAGGCAGTCGAGGCTGAGCGAGCGATCCGGGAGTGGCCACTCCGGAGAGTTGTTCCTTCTAGCAACGTACTGGAGATATCTCAGCTGCGATGGCATCGGATTGAGCGGAGTGAGCAGCTGCATCAATCCCTTGGGAGCCTCCCGGTGGAGCATATCAAGCGTCTTGAATTCGCCCGTGTACATCTTCCTGTAGATGAGAAAGCTGGCGAGAATGAACGCCAGCAGCGGCCATCCCCCCCTCTCGCAGTGCATCAGGACGATGTTTTGCTGCCCCTCGAGCGAGAGCCAACTATCGCTGGATCGCAGGAAGTGATGGATCATCTCCATGGGAAGAATCGGGCAGCCCTCGTAGCGGCGTGGATAATCCATCACCGTCATATCGTAGTGCGATAACATCTCTGTCAGCTGGCTCTTCCTCTCGCCCTCCGGGAAGTTAAAGACGAGGAAGGACGAATCGGGGAACTGCTCGTGGATTTCCATCGCGATCTGGCGCAAGTAGTGCTTGTAAGTCTCCTCCTCGAAGACGTCCGCGGAGAAACACGAGTCAAAGACTGGATTCACAAAAGAATGGGTGAATGCGCTGGGAATGGAGATTGGAATGTATGAGGGCAAGCTCTCGGATATCACCACGGGGGGCCTCCTGTAGAGAAATCGGCGGAAAACATTCTCCCATGCAATGACGAGCGCCTGGATTCTCCACGCCCCAGAGAATTTTCACCTCGATCGCACAGGCAGCTGCTCAGCTCATCCGCCATGCGACACAAAGCCACGAACCCTAGGAGCTCCAGTTCTGGATCACAGCCGTCGGACCGCATAGATCAAACGGTCCGAATTAAACAACCATCCTTCAACCATTTTTTAATCGCCACATCATCCAGGGACTCTTTGGCTTTGCACTGAGTCTTTGCTAGGGACACGCTGCTTGATGTTTTGCTTTGAGCGGTGATGGAGAATGGCGGTCTTCTCTGCAAGAAGGATGTGATCCGCGACAAGGAGACGGAGATGGAAGCTACGGGATGCCAGCATTCTAGGGCAAGGCGCGCATTCCAAGCCCTGCTACATTTTCTCCTCGCCGCCAAGGAGGCGAGAATGTAGGTTGAGTTGAGGCGCTCTCGATCTCGCAGGATTTCGCCGGTGTCTGGCCAATTTTCGACGCGGCACACTCTTGCGACTTCCGGAAAGTACAGTGATACGCATGCTTTCGCTGTGTTTCCGTTTCGTGTGAGAGTCCTCAAAGGGATGGAAATTTCTTTCTTTGCAGATTGTCCAGCGTCTTATCAACGAGCTAGAGGCTCAAGGGGCTCTACCTCGGAGTAGCTCTCGGGTTTCCTCGCTAGCTACATGCTGTGGTCAGAGGTGGGTCTTGTTTTGCCTCCGTGCTTCCTATGATTGAATTTTTTTGGTTTTTCCTTCTCTAGATTTGTGGAGCTATTATGGCAGCTCTCGGCCCACGCTCTGCGAGAAGTTCATCGACGGAACTCGACGGAACATCGAGAAGTTCATCCCAGCGGATGTTGCCGAGAACCCCTTGCCAGATTCGCCCACGGAAGTCATCACGCAAAATTCACATGCATCAGCACTCCTTGCCGTAACAAAGTTGGGAAACAAAGTACCCGTGGCCATCGTGGAGCAGCCCGGCAGCGCTACACGCAGCAAGAATGGTGGTGAAGCTGACAACGTCCAGTTCTACTCTCAATCAACTCCAACAGCTCGTGAGCTCGTCGGCCATGTCCGTTTCGAGCAAAGGCCGCCACCATGGTCGTGGAGAGCACCAAACTCCACTCCCAGGCCCGGTACTGGGAGAAGATCTCCGCCGCGCTCGACACATCTCCGCATTTTCCATACATGTTGGTGGCGGCTGCTCCAGCAGTGACATCGAGCTTCTCGCCGCTCGCCTCGACGCTCGGGTAGACAGCGCTGCCGTCCGAGAGAGCTGTGAAGGCCGCGCGCACGTCGAAGATGCAAGGCAGAGCGACACCGTCCATTCCCAGGCCGGCCAAGTCCATGCTCAGCGCCGTCCGCTCCCGTCATAGCTCGACACCAGGACACGAGGCTCTCCGGCAAGGCATCGAAGACGAGCTTCGACTGCTCGAATCTCCCACACTTGACGTGCATGTTGAGCGCCGCGGTCCCGACCACGACGTCCGTTTGCCAGCCTCTCTCAACCGCATAGCAATGGAGCAGCTCTCCTCTGCTGGCTCCAGAGCAGGCTTCCAGGCCGCTCAGCACCGCCACCTTGTCGAAGTGGACGCCTTCTGGCACCATCTTGTGGAAGCTCTCAACCGGCTTGAGTCGTTTGCCACGAACGCTCCAATCAAGGCAGTCCAGGATCTGACACTAGTGGTGGCAGAGCTCTTCTCGAAGGACTTGCGAGCATCTTCCAAGCTGCGGCATGTCAGATGAGCAGACAACTCAAGTCCGCATCCGAGCGAAGATCAAGCGAGCGCTCCAGTTCGTCGTGAAGAAGACTTCCGCTTGGACGCGATCATCGAGTTCCAAGTCACGACGTCCCGGAGCTCTCCTCCGGCTCGCAGCTCAAACATCTCCTCCGCAGGCCTCGACTTCTCCGCTGGATCCCAGAGGAGATAGTGTTCCACTCGGGCATTCGATCAAAGACGCTCTTGGCCTGATGAAGATCGCGAAGATCGCCATCGCCAGTATGATACAGCGGTCATTGTACAGCGATCCACACAAGAGCGTTACAAGAGAAAATAAAAGAAGCTCACACCTTACTGGCAAAGAACATTCCCTGCTTTCGATCGGGCATCTCTTCCATAAATCCGGAGGAGGGGCCGGCATCCACCCTTGGCACCACTCTTGAAGGTGAGCGACCTCTCCAGCGTTGAAAACTGGCAGCTGTCTCTGCCTCTCGCCCTCCCGGAAGTTAAAAACGAGGTGGATTTGCATCGCGATCTGGCACAAGTAGGAGAAACACGGAGATGGATTGAGGGCGAGCGGGTGTTTCATTCACAAGCCCTAGGAGCTCTCATCGGAAAGCCTCACAGCCGTCGGATCGCCAGGATCAGACGGCCCCGATTAAAACAAAAACACTCCAACAAAACTTGAAACTTCATCGCTCTTCCCCGGGATTTTGGGGCAGTTTTCACTCTCTCGGGCGCGCGTTCTACCGGAAATGACGATGTTCGCGGTTTGACAAGATACAGAGGTGTCTCTCTGCGGCGCGGATAAAAATGTATGCTAAAGTGCTCTGTTTCCGTTGCGTTGATGCAATGTATGCTTGGCTCGCTTGATCAGCAAGGAAACGCGAGCTTGTAGCTAGCACAAGGAAGATCCTTGCCTCCGGATCCTGCTCAAGCTTGTAGCTAGCAAAAGGAAGCGCCTTAAGGCCTTCGGGATCCAGCATAAACTTGTAGCTAGCACAAGGAAGCGCCTTAAGGCCTCCGGGATCCTGACCCTGAGCGGGAGATCGAGATGTGGTGAGCTTATGTCGGGGCTTCTTCCTGGAGCAACAGCAACACTAAAGAAGCAATCTTTGTTCCCGGCGAACGCGCGGTGGCTCATGGCAGCCGGGTTGCTCTAAAGGAGCAATCTTTGTGTCTGGTTGCTCTGGCTAGAGCGTAAGCAGTGAAGGACCGATCAATCTTGCACGCAGAGTAGCTCGGATTTGAGGTTGCTCAATCAATCTTGCCCGCGCAGGAGCTCGGATTTGGTTGCAATAGCCGGAAAGGGGACATCTGATGTGGAAGGCTTGAGTTCTTCATCGGATGCGTTCTGGGAGTATCTAGCGCCGCCAAAGATGCCAGGAGCTGTGAGCGATCAGGCCAGTGCTCGTGTACCAAAGATGCCAAGAACCGATTGCTCTTGATCTGTTTTCTTTGTGCCGCTCGATGGATTGGGCTCCGCTTCTTCAGAGATGGCCACTATCTGAGCAAAAAACAATTCGAGAGATCGTTTTGGGAAGATTGCCTCATGTTGATATTGCTCCGGATATGAATCGATCAACGCATAAAAGAGACTCCGCAAAAACCTTTCCAAAAAACATGGTCAGGTGGGTAGACTTTGACCAATTGAAGCAACAAACGTTTCTGATCTTGGATCCAGACAACACCATTGGGATCCCTGCTTTTAATCAGCACACTGTGCATGCTGTCCAGGAAATATGCCTTCAAAGCGCACTTACACAAGTGTTAGAAGTGGCTTCACTGATTTTACAGCATGTTTATGAAATGCCTTTGCAATGGAGCTCGTTCAGATCTGTCAGATCTCTTGGCCGCAGTTTCAAAGGCATGCCTGACCATTTGCTAGCTTGTGCATTGCAAAATGGAATGTGGCAACCGATATCTCCTGGTGAAATGAAAACGTTGAATGCACTTTATGTGAGCTCATATGACGAATTGCATGAAAAATGGGGACAACATCATCCAAAGCCCCATCTGGGGAAGAGGAATCCTCATCCAACCGGAGGACCTTATTACCATATCATTGGTCAAATTGTAGGGTATTAATCTTCGGTTTGGATTCCTATCAAACTATGTGAATACATGGTTTCTTCGCTATGATGCACAAAATAGCTCCATTTACATCTCGGAGGCACATTCCTATGCAAGCCAGGGACTTTCATCAGCAATGTTGGGATTTATTACAATTTCATCTCTTTCTTTAGGATAAGTGGGAAAACAAGGTGATGAGCTTTACGTCAATTGGAAAATGCAAGAGCGCTAAGAGTGAAGTTTGTTGCTTTGCACATCAATGGTGGCAGCCTTCGCAGAAGCACACGAGCTGTTTGAGGCTTCACTCGACATTATCAGCATTGTAGCGCGGCCAGACTGCTCACTGCCGCCATTCGTTTCGCTCACTTATCCGGGTGCGAGTTCACAAGGGCTTGCATTCTTTCGAGCCTAATAGATGAGGTGTTGAGCACGAGGATGGCTGCCAGGTTTTCGATCGAATCAATCAGCGGAACACCTTCTCCTGGAGCATCCTCGTCGAGTGCTACGTCCAGAACGCAATGTACCAAGAGGCACTGGAAGTTTACAAGGAGATGGTGAGAAAAGCGATCTCCATCGACGCTTACACCCTCTCCAGCGTCCTGGCGACATGCACGAAACTTTTGGACGTGGAATAAGGGAGAATGGTCCAGTGAAAAGCCGAGGAGCTTGGATTTGAGAAAGACGTGGTGGTAGCCACGTCTCTGATCCATCTCTCCGCGAAGTCCGGGTGCCTAGAGGAGGCCTTTCGGTACATGGGAGCTTTATCTCGGTGACTGCGATGATATGGCTCTTGATACTTACTGGAAGATGCGATTGCAGGGGCTGGAGCCAGATGCTTTCACGTATGCCGCAATCCTTGGAGCTTGCCCTGTCCGGATTTCTTGCTCAACGGCAAGCACATACTTGAGAGCGAGCACTTTGGAAACATAAGTGTGAGAAACGCTCTCATCACCATGTATGCAAAGTGTGATCGCTGCTTACACTCTCTATGGACATGACAAGGACGCATTTTCTTTGTTCCACTGGACACCGGATATATACACTTTCTCCAGCATTCTGGGAGCGTGTGCGAGTCCCCTGGAAGATGGGAGAATGCTACATGTAAGAATTACTGCTAGGGCTGCAAGATTTTGGTGTGGCTGCTGAGTGTTTGCCTGGGAAGCTGGAAGAAACAAGAGGAATAAAATCATGACAGAAAAGGAACACAGAGTGAAACACACCTCCCAAGAAGGAGCTGTTCTCCTTTTGCTGGCTTAGCTTTTCTCTCATGTTGGCCTCTTGCTTCACTTGCATTGTCAAGGCGGCAATGGTGTTACGCAGTTGCAAGAAACAGTGGGTTGTGAACCACTTGCCGCGTCGTTTATATATAAGAGGTTAGTTTATAGTTGAGCAAGATTTTGATGAGTTTTCTCGCAAAAGAACAAAACAAAAGATACGTGTTTCAAGAAGAATGACGCGATTATTGACCTGCCTGAACGTCCACCCGTGTTCACCATGTCCGTGATTCCAATTTTCATTAGCTCTCATCCATTGGCATCTGCCATCTTTCGCCTTGGAATAAAGCTTGTCACTGGGAGTCATGCCTGTTTTGCTATAGAGTTGGAATGTCTTAAACAACTTTGCCCCACGCTCCTGTCAAAGTTGCGAAATTGGTGATCTTTTTTTTCGCAAAGATCACGTCGACATCAGCATCCTTTACCTGAAACAATACAATCAAACAAACCATTTGGTGTTTCCTTGAAAACTTCACACCTCAATGGTTTTCCGATTTGAAGCTGCTGCAGGTCCATTTCATAGTTGCGAAGCATGATAAGAGTTGCGGGCATGAGGCCCAGCGACATCCTCACTGAGCAGAAGTAGAGTAGAGACTTAACTAGCCTTGGATCATCAAGTTTAGCCATCAGTAGTTTCAGGTAGAACCCTAAAGCTATAAGGAACCCCGAAGTTTAAAATCTTTGGGCGGGCAAGTGATGAGCTGGGCAGACACGTAAGCAAAACGTGGCTGTCGCCGTGGCTTATATTATCAAAGCTCTGCGAGTTAGGGTTTGAGATGTGAGGTAAAGAAGAATCGAAATAGCCGACACAGCTAAATGTCTGCCTCGGGCTCTTGTGGACGACGCGATCCAGCAGCAGCATACTGGCGAAGGCGATCCTCGCTATCTTCATCACCTTCAGCAGGCCAAGAGCGTCTTTGATCGAATGCCCGAGTGGAACACTATCTCTTGGAACTCAATGCTGGCGGGGCTGGGATCCAACGGGGAGGTCGCAGGACGTTTGAACTGCGAGCCGGAGGAGAGCTCCGAGATGATCGCGGCCTACACTCGCCACGGGAGCTTCTCTCGAGCTCTGAGCCTGATCAAGCGGATGGACTTGGAAGGCTAGCCTCCAAACCGAGTTACGTGGATCACATCCTCGACTGGTGATCCCCGCCATGGAAGGCTGCTTCACGAAGAACTGGAGCTCTCGCTTGATCTCTGCTCGGACGCAGACTTGAGCCATCAACATGTATGGGAAATGCCACAGCTTGGAAGACGCTTGCGAGTCCTTCGAGAAGAGCACTGGTGGTCGGCATAGCTGGACAATCGACGTCCACGACACGAGGCTCTTCTCCGGCAAGGCATCGAAGACGAGCTTCGACCTTCTAGAACCATCTTGTGGAAGCTCTCAATCGCTCTCCGGTTTTTTTGAGCCCCGGCCAGTGTGTCGAGCGCGGCGGAGATCTTCTCGCAGTACCGAGCCTGGGAGTGGAGTTTGGTGCTCTGCACGACCATGGTGGCGGGCTTTGCTCGAAACGGACATGGCCGACGAGCTCACGAGCTGTTTGAGTTGACTGAGAGTCAAGGACTAGAACTGGACGTTGTCAGCTTCACCACCATTCTTGCTGCGTGCAGCGCTGCCGGGCTGCTCCACGATGGTCGCGGGTACTTTGTTTCCATGAGAGGGGACTATGCTCTCGCTGCCACCATGGATCACTACGTTTGCGTGATCGATCTGCTAGCAAGATCTGGCCGAGTTGACTAGGGCCTAGCTTTGCTGACAACCATTCCTTTTGAGCCTGATGGAGTCTCGTGGGTGACTGTGTTGAGCAGCTGCAAAACTCATGGCGATGTTGATGTGGCTGCCGGAGCTGGATTGGAATCATAAAATGCCCAGAGTGAAATCACGACAGAAAAGAAACAGAGTGTAAAACGCACCTACCAAGTCGTCGTCCTGGTCCTGGAAACCACAGTGCTTGTTGGATTGACGCTTTCCTTTTGTACAGTCAAAGGCGTGAAATAGTGCTCTGAGGTCGTGTTACTGGTGCTGGTGTTCTCAGTCGCAGCCTCAACAGGCTTTGAGAGTGCGGCTTCGTGAACTGCTTGCCACAATTCTTTGAAATCATCTGGAATATAAAAGCCGGCATAGTCGATATATAAGACATTGCATTTTAGAATACCTTCGTAGTCCTTGTGGTCAGAGAAAGCCAGTGAAGACGGGCGGAGGTCCAAATCATCGTCGTCACCACCTTTGTGCAAAAGAGAAAACGGCGAAAACAGTGTTGGCAGCTGAGGAAGCTTTAGTGTCGGGCTTGGAGGTGCCAGTTCTAGAGGTCCAGGAGTGCCTCTATCGTCAGCAACACAGTCCGAAGTCACGTCCTGCTAAAGCTAGTCAGAACATGGCTCAAACAAGGTGGTCACGTACTTGAGAGGAAAGTGCAGAGTCAGAATACACGCTATACCCAGCGAAAACAGCTTGAGAGGCAGAAGAAACCGCAGAGTGATTGACATGTTGACGGACTTTGTTAATGTTTGCTTCCATTCCTGGAGTGGTTTCCTTTAGCTGCGAAATGAGCACCTGAAGAATAAGTCCTTTTTAAACAAACAAATAACCGCAAGAAGAATCTAATACCTGCATATTTGAGATGTGTTGTTTTTGCTCCGCTAACGTTGCCCGTAATGCTTGTGTGTCCCTCACAAGCATCCACCGCATTTATAAGATTAGGAAGTGCCTTCGTGACTGTACGACAATTCCAGTCATGTAAGCAAGTTAGACACAGCTAAAGTTTTTACCAGCTTTTGAGCTTGTTTGTGTATGCGTTGCAAAGCATGGGTCCACCGTCTAATAACTTCAGCAACATCAAGCGGGCTCGACCCTTTAACTGCCCTGTCTGTTCTGGCTTCGTCGTCACTCTCCTGCTTTTCTAGTTGCCGATTGCAGTCCTCGTCATTGGAGCTCACGAACTTGGAATGACATTCATCCCTCGGTGGATGGTCACACGCAAAGCCGATCCATCTATAAGCACAGCGTCAAACAAAATCCAGGAACCAAAAGATTAAACACCTGTGGTCACGATGAGCAATCAAGTCTTCTATAGGGCCGCTTGCTAGTTTGTCGTGCCTCTCTACAATCAACACAAAATCAGACAAAAATAAGAACATCAAAAAATCCAAGAATTACGAACTGACCAGTATGTTTTAGAAGAGACTCCCAATGCGTTGTAGCTCGAGACGCTGACAGTAATTTTTGATTTGCAAATGCTCTAGAACTTTAAAGCTCCTGCATTTTCTCCAGCTCTTGATGTAAATAAGCCTCCGTTCAGTGTAATCGACAAGTTAGTCGAATTCAAAGCAGGCAGAAAAAAGAAGTCAGATACCCGGTATCACGTCATGAGCTAGACCGGACCACAACGCTTGTTTATGCATGGCCGCAGACGCACCTCGCCTACGCTCTAGAGCAATACGTGCCTGCCAAAACACTTAAGTTCCAACAATCAACAAATCAACCAAATCTACCAATCAGCACTCCACCTTTGTCACGGCAAGGAGTGCTGATGCATGTGAATTTTGCGTGATGACTTCCGCGAGCGACGCTGGCAAAGGGTTCTCAGCAACATCCGCTGGGAAGTTCCGTCCATGAACTTCTCGCAGAGCGTGGGCCGAGAGCTGCCATAATAGCTCCACAAATCTAGAGAAGGAAAAAACGAAAAAAATTCAATCATAGGAACCACGGAGGCAAAACAAGACCCACCTCTGACCACAGCATGTAGCTAGCGAGGAAACCCGAGAGCTACTCCGAGGTAAAGCCCCTTGAGCCTCTAGCTCGTTGATAAGACCCTGGACAATCTGCAAAGAAAGGAATTTCCATCCCTTTGAGGACTCTAACACGAACCGGAAACACAGCGAAAGCATGCGTATTACTGTACTTTCCGGAAGTCGCAAGAGTGTGCCGCGTCGAAAATCGGCCAGACACCGGCGAAATCCTGCGAGATCGAGCGTGAGCGCCTCAACTCAACCTACATTCTCGCTGGCCGCCAAGGTGAGGAAGAAGGCGACGGTCCCGAGGAGAAAATGTAGCAGGGCTTGGAATGCCGGAAGAGGCCAGCTCGCGATCCAGCGCCTTGCCCTAGAATGCTGGCATTCCGTAGAGCGCCGCTTCCATCTCTCCTTCTTGGAGAGAGGACCGCCATTCTCCATCACCGCTCAAATCAAAGCGTCCCTAGCAAAGACTCAGTGCAAAGCCAAAGAGTCCCTGGATGATGTGGCCATTTTTAACGGGAGGAATGGTTGTTTAATTGGATCGTTTGATCTATATGTGGTCCGACGGCTGTGAGGAGAGGCAGCAAAACATCGTCCTGGTGCACTGCGAGAGGGGGGGATGGCTGCTGCTGGCGTTCATTCTCGCCAGCTTTCTCATCTACAGGAAGATGTACACGGGCGAATTCAAGACGCTCGATATGCTCCACCGGGAGGCTCCAAAGGGATTGATGCAGCTGCTCACTCCTCCCAATCCGATGGCAGCTGAGATATCTCCAGTACATTGCTAGAAGGAACAACACTCGCTCAGCCTCGACTGCCTCATCCTCAAAGTGGTGCCAGCTTCCGATCCGGACGAGGGGCCGCATTTATGGAAGAGATCCCCGATCGAAAGCGTTGAACAGGACGATGAGGATGCTCTTTGCCTTGGGAAAGAAGAGCGGCATTATCGACCGGTAAGGTGGTGAGCTTGTTTTCTTTTGCTTTGGTCAGTAATGCTCTTGTGTGTTCCAGCTTCCAGACAGATTGTGATGTGATGAAGATCGATGTACAGTGTGCCGTGCAAGGGGGTGTGGTTCTCGAGTGCATCCACTTGGACTTGGAGTCAGACCGGGAGGAGATGATGTTCTGGGTCATGTTTAACACCGCGTTCATCCGCTCCAACATCCTGATGCTCAACCGGGACGACATTGACATACTCTGGAACGGGAAGGAGTGCTTCTCCAAGGACTCCCGACCAGAGGTAAGCAAGCAAAGCTGAACCAATTTTGGCAAAATCAATCTTTTCTTTTCGCGAGACGGATGGATTTTCGTCCCCTGTGGCGCCTGTGCGCTGATGGAAGAGAAAGGTGGCTTGCCGATGGAAGCTTTTGCCAAGGTCCAGGAGCTCTTCAGTTGCGGGGACTGGTTAGACGGTGGCAGAGACAGCAGCTGACCACGGTTGGCAATGGGTTTGAGGACAGGAGACTTCCAATGGATAGAGCAGCACTAGCGGCAGCGGACGACGAGTGGACACTTATTTCCAGTACCACCACCTCCTCCATCATCGCCCGTTTTGATTATCAGTTAGGGGTGTCACGGTGGACAAGTCCAACGTTATCGTTTAACCCTAGCTTCGCACCAGGTACTCCTTCACCACTCCACCACCTCGGAGGTTGGCTATTTTGCAGTCTCCACCTCCTGCTCCACCACCACCACCACCACCACCACCACCAGTAGTTTCTGTTGCTGGTCATCCCCCTCCTCTGCCTCCTCCACCACTTCTGTTCGAGCTTCCAAGTTTTACTGCAAAGCTGCCACCGCCACCACCACCTCTGCCTCCTCCACCACTGCCTCAAGGGAATTCAACTGCCCCACTGCCGCTTCCTCTGCCACCATTGCCTCGAGGGAATTTAGCTGCCACAGGATTATTCTAAGAATATTCTATGGCCTGTGGGATTTAAAGCTATAATGAGGGTTCACTCTTATTTGTTTCATCGGTATTGGAGCAGCACGTTCTTTTAAGGATGGCAAGTGAGCAAGATATTGATCCTAATGAGGAGTATGGTGTTAGTGATGATAGTGATGATGGCTATATGATGATGAAGAAGAGACTTTTGATGATGTTGTTGTGCGGCAAGGACATTAGATTTCTGAGGTTCAAAGCAACATAAAAGAGGTTAAGGATTCTATCAATCTTATTAAAAATTTCTTGCTTCACATGGACCCTTAAGGATTAACTCAATCTCATATCTATGATTACTATTGGTATATCAAGCATATGGTATCATGGAATGAAAGTCATTATTGAATGTTTATGATAGTCAAAAAGTTTAGAATTATGGGAAAGTTGTTAGTCTCACAATCTTTATAAAGAAAAAGTGAAAATTGATTTTTTTGTAACGAAGCTTACGGGCCATGCTTTTTCGTGATGAAAGAGTTACATCAAAGCTAATCCGAAGCCAATTTCTTAAGTTGATTTGATGAAAGTTTTCCACACTTCAGTTGTCAAGAAGCTTGAAGAGGTTATTTTGTGAACCAGCTGTTAAAGATCTAGCAAGGGACTTTGTTTTTAGATATGTATGTGATCTTTGCCTTAGTTTCATGGGCACTTATAATGAGCTGCTAAAGGTGCAATGTTTCATCAAAGGATTGAGCTCATTAAATGTGCAACAGAAAGTCAAGAAGGATTTTCTAGCAACATCAACTAATGCTATCACTAAAGCCCAAATCTTTTCACCCAAACCGTCAATTTGGTCAACTCTGGTTAATGTAATGACTAACCTACCAATACTTCATCTTTGGGGAAGAAATAACTATTGTTCCATTGTGGCTCAAAGAATGGAGATAGTAATGTGGCCAAAAGATATTATTTGGACCAGCGAGAGAAAGATAATGTGGAGGGCAATTGTTTTCATTGTCAGAAGGCTAAATATTATGGCAAGGATTGTCCTCTTGTAAAGGGATCAAAGAATATTAAGATGAATATGGTGGAATCCATCATGGATATAGCTCAGGCATCTACTATGGTGGCTCTTCCATGCCCTATGGCACAAGTTCAAGAATCTCAATCTCAAGTTTGTATCAACTCTATAGACATTAATGGTTCTATGCGCAATTAACTTATGAAGGCCAAAGGGGACATTCAGGGTAGTGTTATTAGTATTCTTTTCGATCCAAGTGCTACTCACAACTTTTTAAGCTCCAAGGTGGTGTAGAAACTTGGTTTACCTGTGGAAAAGAGCTCAATAATTTATATAGTGGTTATGGCAAATGGATGTAGCACTCGTGTTTATGGAGGTCGGTATTGCTGAACTCGTTATCAGTTCCCACTTGAGCTAGTTGAGAAACTGGTCAATGAACATGAACTTAGATTGGATAAACATAAGGTAGGAACCCTATGTGTTTCTTGCTGAGCATACTCGGCCTGGTTTGAGAAACTTGTGTCATTGGTGTAGCGCACGTGGTTTTGACCCTTTATCCTATGGTGATTTACCATAGGATAACACCACGAAGCGGAACCTAAACCCTCTTTGTGCCACGTGACAGATGCCACGTGTCCATGCCACGTGTCCATAGGAACCCGAGGTTCAGGGCCTTGGGCCACTGAATGAAGGAACGGTGCCAAACTCCCAAGCGTGACGCCAAGGAGTGATGGAACCGAACCACGGAGCAACTCCCGAGCATACAGCCCAAGGAGCGAAGGGACAGGGGCCTGGAGCGACTTGGAACAGTCCTAGAGCAACCAGCATCCCAATGCCAGGACCAGCACGCAAAACGGAGCCAAACGGAGTTTGGCGCTATTTCGGCATACCGGTGGCCTAACGCGAGGACATGGGTACTCCACCAGCTAGCATGGAATGGAACTTGGGCTTAGACCCAAGCCGGACGCAGAACAAGGACAGGCACGCAAGCGGGAGCTAGACTATGCCTCAGGTTGGTCGGCCATGCCCGACCTACCCACTATCCCTACTATACATTTGGAACCCCCCATATCCCCCCCCCCCTTGAGGAACACACGCTTTGGGCTTTCACCCCAAGCCTCCCTTAGTATCAGGAGTTAGTCTCTGGGACAAGCTTAAAACTTACTAAATATGGAATGTCCTTAGAATGCGAATTTGGACACAGGACGAACACCATTGTGTTCAGGCCGACCTCTACATTCCGAAGATATGCCAAATGAGCAAATCTAGACACTTTCCATAAATAGCATCTGGGACAATTTGAGACTAACACAAAGGGCATGATAGCGATGGTGTTTGGCAGACACGGTAAGCTATCATGTAGCGATATTGAGGGACCAATCTCAATACGCGAGGGTTCTTGTCAAGCCAGTGCAAGACAGAGCAAAAGAGAACTAACAAGCCGGGCCGAGTATGCTCAGCTAAATAGACACTTAGGAATTCCTTCCTTATGCTCATCCGGCCAAGTACAGATGCAAAGTCCAGTTTACTAACACTTGAACAAGAGGGACTAATAAAGGGTCCATCAATACCGACCTCCTGCCATCGTGGCAGTAAGGTAAGAGTGTCCGTAAGGACTGGTCGACAGGTAACTTTCGATACCCGAAGTCACATGCGCGACACTCTCCCCCCCTAGGGAAGATCGACGTCCTCGTCGATGCATACTCCAGTCTAGAATACTGCCAAGGAAACAACTCCAGAAAAAGTTCACGGTACTCACACTATGTGAGAAATGCACCAACTTAAATGAGTTAGGGGGCAACCTCTTTGTCTAACGCGGATGCGCTACCAGCTCAGACACCTTCCGGCCGTCGCCGACAAGGAAATGACCAACGGAGTCAGCCACCCCTGCTGCTCTGGGAGTCACCTAGCTTACAAAAGTGTGATATGCCCTACCCGCAGGAACATAGAGAGAGAAGCCAGAGGCCCCTACCCTCCTAAGCAAAGAAACCAAACCCGTCGGTAAGGTTTAGATAGACTATTGTAAACAGGCAGTTTAGAGTTGTTTACACGGTCATGCCCTTTCAACGGAATAAGGAACATCGATAAAGAGGCGGGTTATGTGACCAGTCGACAGTAGCTACCCCATGACTAGAGATTTCACCATGCACACGAAGTGCAGAAGCCAGTCTGCCCATTACTGGCCCAAACTCAAAGATCAATAGATGGACAATATCAAAGTCATAGACAATGATATTTTAGAGATTTAATTATCAGGGAATAAAGCTTAGATTAGAACACAAAAGTATTCCAAGTAAGTTATCATCCGATAAACTAGTATTACAGTATAGGAACCACCAAGATCACTATCATTGGAAAACATAGGATGCACCATCCAACAAAATTCAATAGCAAGTATATCATCAAGTAAACGCAATGATAAAACTTAACTACCGAAGATAGCAGACAGTAAGCCAACAACTTACTAGAGAGAACTCAAAGAACACAAAGTATCATTGACTAACAAGCACAATGCTCGCGAATGTATCACCCAAAGGAAATAACATCCAAATCTATCAAAACTAACTCGAGCAATAATCAACAGAAGAGAATGAATGTGGGAAGACCAACAAACACTCATGCCTGCTAACTATCACAAAAGCCAATCTGAATAGATCCCAGCCAACAATACCAAGGAACTCAAGTTGCCTAAGCAAGTGTTAGCAACATCCTACTGATGTCTTAAACCCAAGAGACCAATCCAGAGCAAACCACAAAGAACATGTGGTATTGCAAAAAGCCAAAAGCCATCAAAGAGAACAACCAACTATCATGAAAGATCGTCAATTAGCCCATCAATGTAGTGATGTATAATCATCGTTGAAGAAAGAATCTACCATCCCGAAGAATAGCAAATAATTCCAAACCAACAATAATCAAGCAAAACTTGTGATAAGGACAATCAAATACCCTAGATGATAGTCAATCATCACCAATGATTGCCAGATGCAAAAACTAACTTCAATCGAAGCTAATGAGCCAAAATGCCTTCCCCCAACAACTTCAAACAAATGGAACAATGAGCACAAAACTCAAGAACCAAAAGCTCGAAGAAGCCTATAACTAAGTCTTGCCTAATAATGATCACGAGTCTCATAGAAGCTAACTTCAATGCTAAAGAAGAAATCATGGTGCAACCCACAATATCTTCCTCAACACATCCATAAGCCAAACTTCATAATGCCAAAGCTAATGAAGAGCATTTCTGCATCAATCCAAAAGCTAAGCATAACGAAGCTATGCTTAACAAGTGATCATCAAACGATCCTCCATGAATCCATCTATAGCAAGACGCAACTCACTTCATAACAAGCTCAAAAAGAATCATTAATGATTGCTATATTCCGAACTCAAATCCAGCAAGGACTCAACATTCTAATATTGATCACTAACTCTTCTTCTCGTAGAGTTAGCATAGTCCACGACTAAATCACTTTTCAAGGAAAAGCTAAAGCTCAACCCTCTACTAAATAATCTCGTCTAGAACACAACTAACTCAACTTGCCACTCAGTTCGTTTGAACGTCAACACAGTTGCTAACTAGCAAATGCACGAATGCCAACAACACAAAGCTATAGCCAAATCATCAACACTATATTCATCAAGACTAATGAAACTCAATATCAATCTTTGGAAGGATATCTCATTTCACTCAGATCTCAATATCAACAATGTCAATGACAAAGCATCACTTCAATGCCATCAACACCAAAACAAAGCTAGAAGAAAGCATGAGTGAATCACCACTCGGAGCTTTCCAGCAACCAAGTTAACCAAGGTCGAAGATACTTTAATTAGTAACCGAGACCAATCCTTTAGCAAAACCCAGTTACAGATTACACTTCCTCAAGGAGTGAGTCACCACATCCAAGACTCAATGAAATCCAACACCACGAACTAAATGCAACCAAATGATATCGACAGAGATAGAGTCAACATGTCAACATGGAAAAACCATGTAAGTCTAACGACACGATCCTCCGCAACACCATCCAGTAAAGCAAACCTATCATTGCTAAATCATCATCGAGTGAAGTAAGTGTCAACAGTCTTTTGACAAAGTCTACAAGCAATCATTAGTCGCAAAGCAACTAACAATCACTCTTTCAACTTGTCTTTACAAGACCCAAACACTAAACTCACGTCATCGAGTCATACACTTGTCCAACATGAACGTGATACCTTCGGTATGAGA